TTGTCATGTCAGCACACTACTGACAGAGATTGAATGAATGATGGTGAATGTGTTTCCTTCTTTGGTTCACCCTGCCTTGGGGAAGATGATCACTGAAATAAAAAAAAAAAGGTGCTAGACTCTAAAATAATGTGTTGAAAAGTGAAACTGCTGGATATAATAGTTATGCTGTGGCTGAAGCAGTGCTTCAAACATGGGCAGTGCTCAAACATGGGGATGCAAGCTTCAGATGGCAATCACAGTAGTTTTTCTCACTGCCTTTGATTTTTGCTGTCTCATGGCTTCACTTGCAGCTGTTACTATATTACAAATCCTTTCTACAACGGTGTTTGATATGTAATGGAAAGGAAAAGATACTAGTGAATGAGAAAGTTAATAAGAGTAAGGGAAAGAATGAGGGAGGTATAGGAGAAAGGTAAGTGAATAAGTATAGTGAATAATTATGAATTTCATCCCTTTCCCCCAATATTAAAGGTTTATAGGTTACAACATGGGTCTATGGGAAAATGCAATTCATGTAAAATGATTTTTTTGCCTAACAAACTTTTCTCTGGTCCCAGTCTAAGTCTTTCAGTGAGGATTATGCATTACATGTGTGCAATATTAAATTAGTTTTATTAAGATTACTCCTTATTTAATCTACCCAAAATGCTTTGCATAACAATAGACTTTTTCCACATAAGGAATCTTTGTAATATAAATACACCACCTCCGTCACTCTCAAGACCTCATCGAATGGGTTCGCTCTCTCCCGACCTTCTTGGTTTTGGTCTTTCCTTTGCCACTTCACCTACCCCTCGTGCTGGTATTGACCCGATTAGCTCTTTTGATTCTTTCTGTCAGTCTTGCTCTCGTAATCTTGCTGACTTGTCCACTTTTCATGGCGCTCTCCTTCCTGCTCTTGATAGTCTGTTTTCTAAGAATCACCACCTTCCATACCACTATCAACTTGCCCTTTCTTTTCTTAAATCTAACCCTAACATTACCATACTCTCTTCTGACAAAGGTAATTAGGTAGTTACCCTTGATTGCGAGGATTACCTCCATAAAGCTGATGCCTTGCTCGCTGACTCACATACCTATACTCTTCTCATTTCCAACCCTCTTGATCACATCAAGAGAACTTTCAAAAAGAAACTAAGGACTCTCTCTGACCTCTGTCCTCCTGACTTTGATCTTGTTCAACATTTTCGTGTCATCTGTCCCTCTCTGCCCTAATCTATGGCCTTCCCAAAACTTACAACCCTGATATTCCTCTGCATCCCATCATATCCCCTAGAGGTTCTGTCTCTTATTCTCTTGCTTCTTGGCTGGCCAAAACCCTCACTCCCTTTCTTGGTACTTTTTCTCCTGCCCACCTTCGTCACTCTCAAGACTTCATTCAACGGGTTCGCTCTCTCCCGACCTGTAAGGTGCTTAGTCTTGACGTTGAGTCCCTCTTCATGATGTCGTTAATTTTCTCAGAGAAGACCAATGAAGGGTTACTTTATTTCCCTATACATACTGATGTCTTTCTTGATCTTATCCGCCTTTGTGTGGACTCTTAATTCCTTTTCCTTCTCAAACCTTTGGTGTCACTATGGGATCTCCTCTATCTCCTGTTCTTGCTAATCTTTACATTGAATACTTCAAGACTGTTCTTCTTCCTACTACTGATGTGTGCCCTTCATTCTGGCTCTGCTATGTAGATGACATCTTTGCTCTTTGGCCTCATGACTCTAGTCTCTTCCAACCACTTCTTGATGCTCTTAATAATCTTGCCCCTTCCATTAAGTTTAAAGCTGGCTGGGACTCTAATTCCTTGCTTCCTTTCCTTGATGTTCATGTCCATCGCTCAGATACAGGCTTTGCCTTTTCCGTGAAATGCAAACTTATGCACAGTGGCATGTACATTCACTACTTTGCTTATCATGCTTCGTCTGTCAAGAAAAGTGTTATCTTCCTCTTTCTCCGTGCTCTCTGCATTTGTGATCCTCAGTTCCTTGAATCAGAAATTTCCACTCTTCATAATTCATTTTCCCATCTTGGCTACCCTTCCCATTTCATAGACTGTCTTCTCACATGCTAAACAGACTTTCTTCTCTCCCAAACTCTCTGCTCCTGGGAACTCTCCTGTCCTCTGCCTTCCCTACATTTCCGTTCCTTCTAATCTCAACAACTCTCTCCGTTCCTTAAACATCAAACTTACTTTTCACCACACTAAAACTCTTTCACTAATCTAGTTCATACCTCTCCTCCCTCTACAGATGCTCCTGGTGTCTATTCTATTTCTCGTTCCTCCTGTCCCCTTCAGTACTTTGGAGAAACTGGCCGATCTCTTTCTGACAGACTTAGGGAGCACAAAAGTAGTGCTAGGCTTGCGACACCAACAACGCTCTCTTCTGTTATGTCAAAGATCGCAGTCATCCAATTGACTGGTCTTCTGCTAAAACTGTCTACCCTACTTCCAACTTTCACATTCGTCATCTGGCTGAATCCTCCATTTTACAAAACTTTCCTTGTATAAATCTTAGTCCTGGCTTTGTCTCTGTAGATGTTTTCCTTTCCCATTACACTGTAAAATGCTCCAAACTTTAGAACACCAGTGACTTAACCTGGTTCTGTGTTCTTCTCCTTTGGGCTTTTTTCCCTTCTGCCTTGGGTATTTGTCCTTTATTATTTTTCCTGCCTCTGTGTTCTTGCTCCTACCCTCTGTGGACCCCTAGCTCCCTTGCAGTGCTCCTCTTTCTTAGTATTTGAGACTGACTCCACTACTACTACTACTACTACCTCCACTACCTATTTTCTCCTCTCCTACTACTACGTACCTCTCTTGTCCCGTCATTGTCTGCTGGCCTATATATACTCCCTCCTTCTCTCCTTTTCGTTAGTGTGACTTTGTAATTGGTCTATGTTGGACCGAAAAGTTGTCATAAGCTCCTCTCTTCCATGTGCGGGTTATTTGTGTAATGATAAAGCATGTGATGCCTGTATCACAATCTTCCAGTTTCCTCAACTGAGCTACTTGTTCCATCTAGATTCGTCATGGAATTACTTTTTTGCTATAATATTCAAGTACAGTATTCTACTACCATAAATACTTTTCCTGCACACACCAGTAATGAAGGACCTACATAATGTTTCCATAATTTTTTACACATTTCATTCAATTATTCCTTACCCAAGACAAAATTTCATAATTAACAGCTCCAGATGCATGTAAGTATTATCACTGCTCCAACACTGAATATTTAAAAATTTCTCATTTCACTGTCTTAATCTTACCTACCTATAAATATGTACTAGAAAAAACTTTCTAATCATAAATTCAAAATTTTCCTCTATATTTGCAGTCACAATATTTTTGCACATGAATTATTTTTTTCATGATGAAAGCTATATCCAACCATTACCATCCTAGCCTATCTAAGCCTGACATTACAGGCATACTCAGTGAAGCTTCTTCACTTCACAACTGTGCTCATCCCTCATTTTCCATACACCTACCTTACACACAACTTGTATTCAAAGACCCATTCACCACTCATGCCCCTCGATCTACAGGGAAGACTGTAGGATTGGATCAGCCCCCTGAGAAGTCCCATCACTACTTGAACCCGTCTGGATGTGTACATGCCGACTCACTCAGGTGTGGGTGCTGCCCCGCACACTACAGCCAAACAAACCACCTGCCAAACAGTTCAGCACAATAGCTTCATCAGCATAAAGAAGCCTGAAGCAAGCTTTGAAGGTTTTTTTTTTTCATTTACCAATAATTTCTGACATGGTTTTCTGACCCTTGAAGAAGCTTACAATATAAAACAAAAATCTAAATTTCAAATGCATAGTGAATGAAAAAATGTATCACCGGCAGTGCATAATGATAATTTCACTAACTGAAAACAAGTAAAAGCTTGTCCCAACAGTATTAACTTACAATGGAAAAATAAAGAATGATAATAGGTTAGTTGGCTACAGATATTAAGGCAAATGCTATCACAGTTAAGCCCTTTTCCTCAACTGATGAATCTTCACAAAGATTATCATCATCAGTCAAGGGGAAGTACTAAACCATGAGGGGCTGTACAGTGCCTAGGGAACAAGAAGTAATCAGCTTTGATTCAAGGATGGAAGGGTAGTTCTAATTCTTTGGATAAAGAGCCCTTCAACAGCATCAAGGCAACCCCCTCCCATGAAGGGTCTTGATAAAAAGTTTAGTCATTCAGCTTGCTAACTTAGAAGTCAGCCATACATTCTTACATAATCTTTCAGTTTCTGTATTTTCTTATACAACAAACACTAATTCTTACACATTTCTATATATGATAAATAGTCCTGATATCCATGGGCACTTCTCCCTGAATTGGACAGTAACAGATGAGAAAACAAGAAATATGAATGACGATGATGAAATATGAGGAAGTAATCAAAGCTTATATCTTTAATAATAATTCCTCATAAGTTTGTGAAGACAAATGGTTTTGGGACTTGATGAGCTATTAGTGTGTGAGCAGGATAATATTCTGTGAAGGGTTTCAGGGAAACTAGCTACCTGGACACAAGTCCTGGAAATGGGAAATACAATGCCTGCACTTTGAAGGAGGGGTTTGGGATATTGACAGTTTGGAGGGACATCTAAGCTGTTGTATCTGAGTGCCTCTGCAAAGACTGTGATTATGTATGAGTGACAGTGAAAGTGTTGAATGATGATGAACGATTTTTCTTTCTTTTTGGGTCACCCTGCCTTGGTGGGAAATGGCCAATGTTTAAAAAAAAAAAAAAAAAAAAAAAAAAAAAAAAAAAAAAAAAAAAAAAAATTTGTGAAGTCAAGAAAAATCTACCTTTGCTTTTTGAATCTTTTCAGAAAATAGAAATGTCATTTCTGAACTTTAAAAAGCAAAGTCCTTAGGTGATGATCGATATCCCTGGCCAAGAGTTTAACACTGACTTGTTACCTCTGGAACAGATAAAAATTAAAACTTAGGATTCCATCTACCAATTAAGTTGGATATATGCCTTACCAGTTCACCATATGTTGGAGAGGGGCCCCAAGATATAACACTTTCATCTGCAGCCACCACAACAGAGGTGGCAGAACAGCCAACAGCTCTCACATCCCAGCCACAAAGATCTTGTAGTGGCTTGGGGTACATGTTAGCTTCTCCTGTACGTCTGGTCTGACCCCAAAGGAAGATACCCAAGGCACTGATGCCAATGGTGAAAGTTGAGCCGCAATATATTTTTTCCACTCCACGATTATGGCCATCAAAAAACTTAATCAGACGGGGAATGAATTCATCCTTGGGTTCAGCATGACCCAATCGTCCATATCCACCGAAGCCCCAAGAAAAGGCTCTCTTCTTTGCATCAATTGCAACCTGAAATTATATTTAACTATGAATCATCCCATATTAAACCACTATTATTATTATAATCAAAAAGAAGTGCTAAGCCACAAGGGCTATACAGCACTGCCCATATTAAACCAACTTACAGTCAGAAAAAAAAAAAAAACATGACCATGGGTGGTACCAGTTTCTATGCTGAGGAAATTTTGGGGTGGCTATCTGGTAGGAAGGGAATGCAAAATTTGTTTTGAAGCATTTTTTTTATTATTTATTTTAGAGGCTTTGGGGGTTGAGGGGATTTAGGAGGATTTGGGGGATTGAGGGGATTTAGGGGGCTGAATCACACCCCCTGCACCATCCCTATTCATGAGGGTTATGTTCCTAGAGGTCCTGTTGAACTTAAAATTTGCACATACCACTAAATTCTGTCCACAAATTCATTTTGCTTTAGAGGGGCCACAGATATATCAGATCACTTTCTAGTTGTAGCTACACTGAGAGTAAAAGGTAGATGGGATACAAGGAGAATAGAAGCAACAGGGAAGAGAGAGGTGAAGGTTTATAAACTAAAAGAGGAGGCAGTTAGGGTAAGATATAAACAGCTATTGGAGGATAGATGGGCTAATGAGAGCATAGGCAATGGGATCGAAGAGGTATGGGGTAGGTTTAAAAATGTAGTGTTAGAGTGTTCAGCAGAAGTTTGTGGTTACAGGAAAGTGGGTGCGGGAGGGAAGAGGAGCGATTGGTGGAATGATGATGTAAAGAGAGTAGTAAGGGAGAAAAAGTTAGCATATGAGAAGTTTTTACAAAGTAGAAGTGATGCAAGGAGGGAAGAGTATATGGAGAAAAAGAGAGAGGTTAAGAGAGTGGTGAAGCAATGTAAAAAGAGAGCAAATGAGAGAGTGGGTGAGATGTTATCAACAAATTTTGTTGAAAATAAGAAAAAGTTTTGGAGTGAGATTAACAAGTTAAGAAAGCCTAGAGAACAAATGGATTTGTCAGTTAAAAATAGGAGAGGAGAGTTATTAAATGGAGAGTTAGAGGTATTGGGAAGATGGAGGGAATATTTTGAGGAATTGTTAAATGTTGATGAAGATAGGGAAGCTGTGATTTTGTGTATAGGACAAGGAGGAATAACATCTTGTAGGAGTGAGGAAGAGCCAGTTGTGAGTGTGGGGGGAAGTTCGTGAGGCAGTAGGTAAAATGAAAGGGGGGTAAGGCAGCCGGGATTGATGGGATAAAGATAGAAATGTTAAAAGCAGGTGGGGATATAGTTTTGGAGTGGTTGGTGCAATTATTTAATAAATGTATGGAAGAGGGTAAGGTACCTAGGGATTGGCAGAGAGCATGCATAGTTCCTTTGTATAAAGGCAAAGGGGATAAAAGAGAGTGCAAAAATTATAGGGGGATAAGTCTGCTGAGTATACCTGGTAAAGTGTATGGTAGAGTTATTATTGAAAGAATTAAGAGTAAGACGGAGAATAGGATAGCAGATGAACAAGGAGGCTTTAGGAAAGGTAGTGGGTGTGTGGACCAGGTGTTTACAGTGAAACATATAAGTGAACAGTATTTAGATAAGGCTAAAGAGGTCTTTGTGGCATTTATGGATTTGGAAAAGGCAGGGTGGATAGGGGGGCAATGTGGCAGATGTTGCAAGTGTATGGTGTAGGAGGTAGGTTACTGAAAGCAGTGAAGAGTTTTTACGAGGATAGTGAGGCTCAAGTTAGAGTATGTAGGAAAGAGGGAAATTATTTCCCAGTAAAAGTAGGCCTTAGACAAGGATGTGTGATGTCACCGTGGTTGTTTAATATATTTATAGATGAGGTTGTAAGAGAAGTAAATGCGAGGGTCTTGGCAAGAGGCGTGGAGTTAAAAGATAAAGAATCACACACAAAGTGGGAGTTGTCACAGCTGCTCTTTGCTGATGATACTGTGCTCTTGGGAGATTCTGAAGAGAAGTTGCAGAGATTGGTGGATGAATTTGGAAGGGTGTGCAAAAGAAGAAAATTAAAGGTGAATACAGGAAAGAGTAAGGTTATGAGGATAACAAAAAGATTAGGTGATGAAAGATTGAATATCAGATTGGAGGGAGAGAGTATGGAGGAGGTGAATGTATTCAGATATTTGGGAGTGGACGTGTCAGCGGATGGGTCTATGAAAGATGAGGTGAATCATAGAATTGATGAGGGGAAAAGAGTGAGTGGTGCACTTAGGAGTCTGTGGAGACAAAGAACTTTGTCCTTGGAGGCAAAGAGGGGAATGTATGAGAGTATAGTTTTACCAACGCTCTTATATGGGTGTGAAGCATGGGTGATGAATGTTGCAGCGAGGAGAAGGCTGGAGGCAGTGGAGATGTCATGTCTGAGGGCAATGTGTGGTGTGAATATAATGCAGAGAATTCGTAGTTTGGAAGTTAGGAGGAGGTGCGGGATTACCAAAACTGTTGTCCAGAGGGCTGAGGAAGGGTTGTTGAGGTGGTTCGGACATGTAGAGAGAATGGAGCGAAACAGAATGACTTCAAGAGTGTATCAGTCTGTAGTGGAAGGAAGGCGGGGTAGGGTCGGCCTAGGAAAGGTTGGAGAGAGGGGGTAAAGGAGGTTTTGTGTGCGAGGGGCTTGGACTTCCAGCAGGCATGCATGAGCGTGTTTGATAGGAGTGAATGGAGACAAATGGTTTTTAATACTTGATGTGCTGTTGGAGTGTGAGCAAAGTAACATTTATGAAGGGGTTCAGGGAAACCGGCAGGCCGGACTTGAGTCCTGGAGATGGGAAGTACAGTGCCTGCACTCTGAAGGAGGGGTGTTAATGTTGCAGTTTAAAAACTGTAGTGTAAAGCACCCTTCTGGCAAGACAGTGATGGAGTGAATGATGGTGAAAGTTTTTCTTTTTCGGGCCACCCTGCCTTGGTGGGAATCGGCCAGTGTGATAATAAAAAAAAAATATTAAGCTGTTTGTTTCATAGATCACTTCTCATTAAAACAGCTTTAAGAAGAAATTTGGGTGTGAAAAATCAATTAGGCACATACTGAAATGAAATCCTACGGTCAGTTTCAATTTAGCGGTTGTATGTCAAACCCTCCATAAAAAGGAACTAGAACTACATGACAATTTGTGAATTTATTGAAGCCACTTGTGAGGTGTTTCAATAAAAAAAGTCCACTATCAAAGCAGGCAAATCTCACAAATCTGGGGATTTGACAGAACTACAATTATAAACTGAGCCTGAAATTATTTCAAAATGTTTTGTTTGGACTTGCTGATATTTGGATCTATAAAAGAAGAGGAGAATCACAGAACTAATGAGGAGGAATGGAGGTGGATGACAAACTGAGGCATCTGTGAAGGCAAAGAATTTTATCCAAAGAAGCAGAGAGATTAATGTACCACAGTATAGTACAGAGGTCAGGGAACAAGGGTAAATTATCCCAAATGGGGTACAAATGAAAATCTCAGGGGTAATGAAGGCTCAAATACTGAGTTGGGTTGAGAATCCCTTCAACTGTGAAACTGTTGAAATGCCAGAGGCACTTCTGAGCTTCGTTCCAACAATGAAGCAGGTATTGAATTTCAGAACAACGCAGAACTGTCCTTTTTTGGGATGTCAAGACCTGCAAAGGCTTTCAAAATTGCACATGAGGAAGCAATATACTGCCACCATTTGCAACTACCTATCTTTGTGAACAGGGACTTTCTACTTTCATTAGCTTTAAAACAAAGTGAAGAAATTGGATGAACACCAAAGACAGTATTCAAATTGCTGACATCAAAAAGCCCTAATTATGATGTTGTATCAAAAATGAAACATTGTTTCTCGAAAACCTGAAGTGAAAATTTTTTCAATGAAATTCTTTAGATCCCTAATGAGATTTTTATTAAAATTGTCTATTTTTTTTATTTCATGCAGTTTATTTTTCATTTTATTATTTTGTTAATTTCGTTGCTTTAAAGCATCTAATACAGCCTCTCCTCACTTAACAATGGGGTTCTGTTCCAAAGAGTAGGTTGGTAAGCGAATTGGATGTTAAATGAGGAGCATACTATACTGGTAATGGGTTTGTGTCAACCATCTTTAGATATTTTTTTGTCACCTCTGCATCATTTATAACATTTCTAGTATATTTCTAAATGTTTATACAGTAGTGTACTGTATACTGTAATAAAGAGAACAGAGGAAATCAGCTTTAATATACATTACTTAGGTTTGCATATTGGCTGGAGAGCTGGTCAGAAGTCTGAGCGGTCAGTAAACGAGTATATTGCTAAGTGAGAAGAGACTGTACATACTTTTCAGCTTGTATGACTGTATTCTCCATACAAATGGATTCAATAAACTATTTTGAATTTTAATGCTCCTTGTGTTTTCCGGATTCTGCGGACTTTCAAGTCTAGTGGGTAATTTCGATGTATACAAATTTGTTTTGGGGTAATATACAAATTTGTTTTGGGGTAATACCCAAAAAAATTTTGATAACCTCTGGCAGAGTGGTATTAATACAAAGGTGTGAAGCATAGGTTTTAAATGTTGCAGCAAGGAAGAGACTGGAGGCAGTGGAGATGAAATGTTTGAGGGCAATGTGAAATGTAAATATTATGCAGAGAATTTGGAGCATGGCTATTAGATGTTGAATTACCAACAGTATAATTCAGAGGGATGAAGATGGGTTGTCGAGAGGACAGATCAAAATAGGATGACTTATGAGGATGTATAAATCTGTTGTGGATGAAAAGGTTGGGGGGAGGAGTAAAGGAGGTTCTGAGTACCTAGGGGCCTGAACATCCACCAGATCTGTGAGAGCGAATTAGATCAAACTGAGTGAAGGCCAGCAGTTTTGACGACAAAGTGTTGTTGGAGTGTGAGTGAGGTAGCATTTATGAATGGGTTCAGAGAACCATTTAATCAGACTGGAAGCCTATAAATGGGGAGTATGGTGTTTGCATTCTAAAGGAGAGGTGGAAATACAACAGTATTTATAGGGTCATTTGAAGAGTTACATCAGGGAGACTGTATGAATGACAGTGAATGTTTCCTCTCTTTTTGGCCACCCCACTTTGGTAAAAGTTTGGTGCTAATAAAATAAAATAATAAAAAAAAAAACTTACAAACAAAGAAGAAAAAACAATGTAATTTTCTACCATTTATTTGTTGTTTACAATTACAGTGGACCCCTGCCGTTTGGCGGCCGCACTTTCGTGAAATCCAACTTTCGGCAAGTTTTTTCGGGAAAATTTAGCTTCATGGTTCATGATTGGATTCGTGATTCGGCGACCTTCTGGAACGCGTCTGCCCGTCAGCGCGCACACAAAGCCAGTCTCCTGCACTATTCACACTCAGTGTGCCATTGATTACCAGCATGTGACCATCACCCCACGGGTTCATACAACACATTTCATAATACTTCATTGTTTTTTGTGCTTACAACTGCTAAATAAGCCACCATGGGCCCAAAGAAAGCTCCTAGTGCCAGCCCTTTGGTAAAGAAGGTGAGAAACACGATAGAATTCAAGAAAAAACTCATAGCAAAGTACTAAAGTAGAGGAGGAAGAGAGAGGGGAGAATGTGCCTTCTGCAGTGATTCAGTGATTCTACAATATGTGTGATACTAAAGCAGCAGGTATCGATAAAGGCTATAGCTCCAGCCAGCAATAAAGTGTAGAATTAATAAGTGTAGCAAGTAAGTTAAGCGAGTAAGCGATAGAACAACAACATGAGAGTAACTCTCCAATGTTGTTGGATGTGTATAGGACCGCTGAACATACACCACCCTGCTATCTTCCACCACCCTAAACCTCTGCCTACATCTCCTTCATCAAACTAATTAAACTAACATCTCCTCCAAGGTAAGTGTAAATATAAAAGTGTAAGTATAAAAGTAAATATAAGTGTAAATATAGAAGGACACCAATGGAAATGTCACTCTTGAATTTTTTGGGTTATCCTGGGTACTTTACACATATGCTGCTATGTATGATGATCTATGCATGTAATTGTATTTGTGTATACCTGAATAAACTTATTTATAAATTAAAATGTAAATATTTCTTATTTATAAATTACATACATTGTTTAAGTGTGATGGTGGTGGTGACCAAAGCCTCCACCGCCACCAACACGGCTTCTCTCAGTGGCGGCCCTTAAACCCAACAACAACACTTACACCGTTTACTCCTCATACATTACGACATATTTTATTCATTCTAGAGTATATATCATGTTTCTATAATATTAATATTGTTTATAATGTCATATTAGATGAATTGTAATAGATAAATAAGCCGTAGAGATGATATTAGCATCATATTGAAGCATAATAAACTCGCCTTCCTCTTGCCTCCTACCTACCTCCTACACCAACAAGAATCAATAAAGGTTAAGTGTGATGTTAAATGTTCATTTATCCATTTTATTAGTGCTTTATATTTATTTGCCATTGTTTTCTCTATGAAAATCTATATTTAATCTTTAAAAAAAATTATTTTTTTGTTAATACTTTTGGCTGTCTGAAACGGATTAATTGGATTTCCATTATTTCTTATGGGGAAAATAGATTCGCCAATTGTGAATTTCACCAGTCGGCAGACTCTCTGGAACGGATTAATCACGAAACTCGGGGGTCCACTGTATATGAAGAAATATCAAAAGGACTCAAATTAAAAGTGCATTTACAAAACTAGTATAAACTGTAGTCTATACTAGAAATACAATAAGCATGAGCATGCATGCTTTAATAGGCATGCACTCCTGATATATATACCATTGTACTTTTAAAAAATAATTAAACACCAACAATAAAAAAGATTGATTGGGCATTTTTTCCCCATCAAGTCTGTGTTTGCCATTAACATAAGCACTACATTGAAGGGGCGAGAGCTCACATATTTTACTTTAACCTTTAGGTACTAATGGAAACAAGTATAATATGTAAAAGAATAAACAGATTATTAAAATAAAAATGCATGTTAAAATGACTAGCATTTTTGCAATGAAATCTAGAAACTTTCTCTGCAAGCACAACACTTATTTTGTACACTTACTGTATGATTGCTTCCACAAGCAAAATCTACTATCTGCACATCAGTGACAGGGGTGGGATGACCATCCTTGCTACGTTCAACAAATATAGGTACTCGTCTCGGTATTCTCTCATGCTGATACGACAATTTGTTGCTAGTAATGAAGAACTTTCCATCAGTGTTGTGGCCCAGCTGACCATATTCTGGTAAGCCAAAGGAATAAAGGTAACCTTTCTTGTCAATAATCATGCTGAATTCAGCACCACAGGCAACCTGTAAATATAAAAGATATACTGTAATTGCAACAATGGAGAATACTCCCAACTCCATGAAATTCTATATATCCACTTCTCACACATATATCTGCACAGGGAAACACCCTATAGGATTTAAGGCAATAAAGGAAACTCAATCTCCCCAAATCTTTTTAAGTAAGCTTGGATAAAAGTGTCAAATGCTGATCAATGTCAGCCGAGAAATTCCTTGTGGCAGACTTTAAACTGGTAAGAAATCAGCACATGTCAGCCTCAGTCAGTGACCCTCTGAAGACCCTGCTGATGAGAAGCAAGGTTGAAAGCCTTCCCTGATGCTGACACATTCTCTCCTTTTATAGTGCTCCTACATTTTAGTGGGTTTATCATGCACTTCCTGCCAAATCAAATCTGGCAAGTTAATTTGGAGCACAGATAAGATATTTGGTCAAACACTTTCTGTAAGCTACCTGGATAGGGGGAATGAGAGTAATTCCTTCCCTCTTAGTCATCTTATATAGTGCTCTTCATACAGTGCTACTGATAAGTTATTGTATTTCGTTTTTATTCCAGTAGTGCATATGCTCCATGTCCCTGTGAGAACGTGCAGTCAATTACTTTCCATAGTTGCCAAATGAAAATACTGTATATATAAAAGTATTTCCCATAGATTTTTTCTTCATAAGAGAAAGCCATAGTGGCAAAATGCACACATTTTATGAAAAGTGAATATTGAAACACACCAGAAATAAAAAAAATATTAATAAAAACATTTTTTTTTTCAATTACTAAGGATGCTTCAGCTCCATAGGAAAAATAACAGGAAAATATGCTACTTGAACATAGCATGGTCCAAAGCTGTTGTTTATAGCTATTTTTTCAGTTAGTTACCTATGGCACTGATGAAGCATCCTTCATAATTGCAAAAACTTTTTGCCAAAATTTTTCCCCTTTCTGAAGAGTATTTTGATATGTGGTTAGCTACAATAGACATGAAATGGTTGTTCACTGAACTTTAAACTGTGCCTTAATAATACACATTGCTGTTGGCTAAATAGTGATTCTTGGCTTAACCCTTTGAAGGTCATGGTCCAAGCCGTAGTTCTATGTCATGAGCTCAGCTCACTCAGATAAACTGAGTGGTAAATTTGGGCCTAGATATGAGAATGCATCTATGTGGTAAGTGTGCACCAAATAAAACAAATTGGCAAGCAAGCAGCGCACAATGAGGGAAAAAAGTGCGACCGAGTTTTTGGATTAAAACACCAACTTTGCGGTGCTTTTCCTATGGTTATTTATGGTTGTATTCGCGGTTTCTTGGTCTCATTTGATAGAATGGAAGATATATTACAGAAACAGAGATGATTCTGAATGGTTTTAGTAGTACTGAAAAGAGCTTGAAATTGAGCTCAAAGTAGCAGAAATGTTCAATTTTTGCAATGTTCAAGAGTAAACAAATGACATCATGCATCCAATACACATCAACTGGTGGGTCTAATATATGTTCACGAATGCGCTGACATTATTTATACAATTATTACAATATTGCATAACAGTAAATCTTCTATTTTTTGGTGTGAATAAAAATTCTTTATGTAAATAAAAAAATAAAAATGGAATTCATCTGTGAAGCCTGGAAATGTAATTAATAGACAAGAAATGTTATTTTAGTGCCAGGAATGCCTGCATTGTTTATTCTGGACTCTATTTTAAAATTGGAATATTTTGAACTTCATGTGAAATTGGGCTAATTACCAATTTCTGATCACTTTATTAGGTAGCATAAATAGCTGATTGGGCAGTTTCTTGTACTCAATCGATAAAATAGAAGGAACACTAGCGAAATAGCTAAAAATTTGGTCAACTCAAATAGAGTAATTGGGTGAAAATAGGAGTCAAAGTGGGCAAAATGCCGATGCGTAAATATCACTGACACAGTAAAATTCCCGAGTGTAATTTCGTCAATTTTCCATCAAATTTTGTACTTTTTGTTTTATTACCTTCAGAAAAAGATTCTCTACCATGACTGTAACATGATATCAAAGTGTGAATGTAACATGATATCAAAGTGCAAATGTAACATGATATCAGAGTGTGAGAATAAGTGCTCATTGGTTTAGAATACAGTAATGAATATCACTGGTTATATTTGGAATGAGAGAGAGCAGATGATAGAGTCATAATGATCAAGTTGAAAATGCTGGGCTATAACTCAATGCTACATTCACCCACAGCTGAAGAGGAACGTGAAAAAGATTAGAAATTAGTGTGTACAAGATGCTTAGTCCCCACCTCCTACAAATGCAAAGTCAATCGGGTTCCATTATTTTTTTTTTTTAATAAATCATTGTGAAGAAACTTAATATAATGTAAGGAAATAAGTAACTTTTGACTTACCTACACTTAGTCTTCTCAATGTATCCTCACTCCATTTTTTTTTCTTTTTTTTTTTTCACTTAAGATTTAACACATTAAAAGGTGTTATACCAGCAGGCAATTACATGTATACTAGTATGCAAAATAACTTAACCAACTTTGAAAATCCTAGGAAATTGTGTTTATTGATTTTTTTTTAACACACTGGCCATCTCCCACCAAGGCAGGGTGACAAAAAATAAATCACTTTTGCCATCATTCAGCACTTTCACTTTCAGATATGACTATCTGTATTTAATATTCATTTTAAATCCTAATACTTGGTACCTCCATCATTACTTTATAGACCATTCATTATACCTCCCAAATACCTCATTGTGGGCCCTTCCCCAGGCACAAAATGGATGGCAAGCACAACACACAAATTGTCCAGTATTTACCTTACTGATCTTTGCCTCCTTAAAGCTGATCCGGCATGGAGTGTGGATAATGGCGTTAGTACTGCCCGTACCACACTGACCTGACTTGTTGTCACCGCAGGCAAAAACACTGCCTCGATCCGTCAGGAGGAGAGTATGATTACGACCCACTGCAGCTGATACCACAGTAAATTCTGACATAGTGTCCATTGACATCACACCAGTTCGATTCTCGGTATCACCAACACCCAATTGACCCTTCTCATTGCGACCTAAAATTATAAGATTAATTAGTTGTAAGGTAGCTTCTTCACTAGTTTTCAAATTAATATTGTCTTAAGGACTGAGTAAAGAAAAGTGATTTAAAATGACTCTTGAGCTGTTGAATTGGGTAACATTTATGAAGGGATTCAGGAAGACACCAGTTAGCCAGACTTGAGTCCTGGAGCTGAAGAACATAATGCCTGCACTCTTAAGGGCTGCAGATGTTGAAGTTCAGAGAGTCATTTGAACTGCAATGCCTGTGTGCTTCTGGCAAGACAACTACTGAATGAATGCTGATGACTGTTTCCTTTCAGGCCACATAAGCTTATGACAAAAAAAAAAAAATTGATTTTAACATTCACAATTTATGATTTCCAGATTTAATTAAATGGAAAAAGTGCACAAGACAAATTAAAAAAAATACAGAACATGAACTAGCTTTATACAAGTAGTTTCATTAAATAAAAACCAAATAATAAATACCCAGTATTTCTTTAGCCATGGCTACTATATTCATTTCCTTTTAGAGATAGAATAAGAATTAACATAATTCCTAGCCACACCTTGTGACTATTATATTTAGCAAGGAAGCACAAAAACCACAGGGTCACAATGCCTGGGGAATGGAAGGCAATCTGGTTCAATTCAAGTCGGAGGAGAACAGGTCCCATCCCAATCATCAAGAGCCCCTCACTAACTTCAAAGAACCTTGCTTGAGGGGTATGACAATTGCTTTTTGTTAAGGATGATTTCTTACAGTAGTCCTATATGAAGTTGTGCCTGGAAGCCATACCATCAATGCCAACAGATCACAGGAAGTGGTCTTGGTCCTTTACTAAGAAATGCCTTAATACAACAATCTCCTTCACCTAATCCCAAGTCTATGTGATGACTGAACTATTAATATTTACTTATGGAAAGAGAATATTCAGCAAACTTCATTCAAGCCAGTTCTGAAATAAAATGATTTACCTACCGAGTGACATAGCTTTGCCCTCTTCTGTGATGATGATGGAGTGGGCTGCAGAACAGTGAGACGTCACGAATGCAACACGAATTCCCTTAAGAGCTGAAATGCGCCGTGGTACATAATGCATCATAGACGTAATGCCCTTCAGATTACGTCTTCCAATATACTCCCACTGGGTGCATCCTGTGTACACTAGAGTTCCTCGATCTTCAGGAAGACTAAGTCTCTGCAATACAAACATGAGTTTCAGATTTTTTATAGCTTAATCAGGGGGAAACACTAGACCCAAAACCAACATATAGCGTCACGTGAATGAAATAAAATTAAAAAGGAAAACAGTAAGACCCCCATATCCACGGGGGATATGTTCCAAGGACCAGCCGTGAATACTGAAACTGTGGATAGTAGCAAACCCTACACATAAGTCCTATACATACCTATTATAAAGTTTAATTGATAAATTATGCACAAGAAGTGGAGAATTAGAACTTTTTCACTGATGGGAACCATTGCACAGCTTCTCTTAGGCTTTGAAGAACTGCCACCTTCTGTAGACAGCCTGTACTGTCTGCACAGACAGCCTATGCTGTCTGACAGCTTAGTTCATATTTTGCAGCACTCAGGTGCTGCCCTCTCCAGGCTAGCCCAAAGTCAGTGGGATGCTGGTCCCACTCACTCTCCCACTCCCTCATTCACTCAGCGGCCTAGCAGCAGTCAACAAGTCCTACTAGATCTCTCCCTCATAAGCATGGCCCTCCTGGGCCATGGGCACAACACACAAGCCTGTGTACCCACCAAGACATGCCAAATAAAAGTAAAGAAGCCTCCGAAGACGTCTATCATTGAACCCCGCTTGCAGCATCACCAACAAACTCGTTATAAATGGTGGCAACGGTGGGATCCACGTGGTGTGATCCTCACGTTACGGCGTCCCATGCTGTTTCTCAAGTCACGTGTTCACCATCACTTGTATATTCTGCTGTTGTTGTTCAGCTCAGCACAGCTATTTCAGCAAGCCAGAAGTGAGTTTGTGGTGATTTCTGCGTCCAGTGTGAGTTTCTCCACATGTTTGTGAAGAGAAGAGGAGGAAGGGGCCATTCCTTGCCTCGCCCACGCTCGCCCTGCTGTACACTCGCACCTCACCCGCCTACCACCACTATGTGCTCACTCCCTCTGCTGTGTTTTTCTGCTGTTTTCCGTGTGAATTCATTGCCAGAGCTGTGTATCTGAGTGCCCAAGGCCACTCGAAGCTACGTGGATCAGCAAGCCACGTGAATCAGCATGCCACGTAGATCACGATGTCACGTGGATCTACAAGTCACGTGGGTTACCAAGCCAGATGTCCCAGGCCTCATGCTGTGGTCTGCTGCCCACATCACATTGACGTCACCGATGCTGCTGCCATTCTTCATGACATCACGATGTCTGCCTGACGTCACCTCGAGATGTCTGCTGACATCACCTCGTGACGTCATGCCTGACATCACATGATGTCACATCAAGTGTTTCAGTAATTATGTCAGTATTGTCGAGAAGATTGAGAGGAGATATATGTCGTGTGTTAATTAATTCCTCTCAGTCAGTGTTCTCACATGTTAGTGTATGGCTTAGTGTCAATTTTGTGCACAGAAAAGCATCATTTGCTAGTTTAAGCCATGTTGTACCGCATGTACCGCGGGTGTGTGTAAAATTTTCCGTGTGTCCTGTGTGGTCTTGAGCCCAGACCACTGTGTAGCACCACTGTGTTATTGTCACCCAGTGTGACCAGCGCGTTTGACAGCTGATATTACTCAGTCCCGAGCGACTGAGCCTCTTGTACAGAAAGCTCTTATTGTTCGCCGCTCGTGATGTTCTGCAGAATCGTACCTGCTACAATTCCCATCAAGATTTGTTTCACTTTACCTCCAGACCTTCAGAGTGCAGTTATATATAGAGAAACAAGTCTGGGGACACTTAGACTAACCTCTGCTATAACTCCAACTGCCGAGAGAATGACACTCGTCAAGCCGCAGTTAGCCCTGTCGGCAGGCACTGTGTCAGCCTCGTGTCACAAGCTTCCGTGAGCTCCTGCACAAAGATGATGTCACTTTGACTGCTAGCTTGCTCACTGCAGTCTGGTGTATGATGTTACGACTCCCAGATGTTTCACCCAGTCATCTCTGCCATGACTCACTCCACGACTTAATCCACACTCGCCGGCAGTGACAGCCCAGCGACAGTACCAGTCGAGAAGTGTCCTCCTGAGTCGCTTGCCAGAAGTCCTGCCCAGTTGCCGAGTTTTGTCGATGCCTCATTCGAGGGCACCAGCATGTCGTGCCCAAGGTTGAGTGAAACCTGCAGTGACTCCTACGATGACTGCTTCACCGTTCCAGAGGAGACCGTACCCTGTTACGTCACAGCTCAGCCACAGCGATGTTTCCTGTGTTGCAGTATCTGTCCAGATGCAGGAAGGTGTGCAGTGATGCCCTTCGATGCTCACTGCTTATGACCACGATGTTTAGCACACCCCACATGTTTTTTTCCTCCCTCCCTGTAGGAAGTTTTTTTTTCCATGTCCATATGTACATATATGCTTTTTATTTTGTGTTCTGTGCCCTGTTCCTACGAGAGAGAGACCAAGTTTTTTTACCACCAGTACTGTCGCGTCGGGACGACGTGAGGTAGGTGGCCAAGCGTATGTAAGACAGCCTGTACTGTCTGCACAGACAGCCTATGCTGTCTGCCAGCTTAGTTCATATTTCGCGGCACTCAGGTGCTGCCCTCTCCAGGCCAGCTCAAAGTCAGTGGGACGCTGGTCCCACTCACTCACTCACTCAGCGGCCTAGCAGCAATCAACAAGTCCTACTAGCTCTCTCCCTCGTGAGCATGGCCCTCCTGGGCCATGGGCACAACACACAAGCCTGTGTACACACCAAGACATTCCAAATAAAAGTAAAGAAGCCTCCGAAGACGTCTATCATTGAACCCCACTTGCAGCATCACCAACAAACTCGTTATACTTCTCTACTTTTGCAATGTACTTTTAGGCCACAGTAATATAAATTACAGTATATAAAATATGTGACAAAACATTGGTAATACACTATCATATAAAGAATGGAATCAAGATTTTTTAATAAAATTGTCACCAGATAATATACAAAAATGACATTCCAAAAAATCCATATACTACACTGGCTAACTATAAAATAGCTTTCAAATACTATGTATGAATGGAGTGATGCTGAATAAGCTGTTGACAAACAAAAATGAA